ATGTCTGTGTGTGTCTGTGCCGAGTGGTGTTTTTGTAGAATTACTGACACATCAGAGTGGAATCTCCTCGTCCCAAGGATTTTGCTGTGGGCTGTGCTGAGCCACGGGGTGGCATCACTGCATCACTTTGGGTTCAGCAGTGATTTATTCTTCAGCAGCATCACAAAGATGCCAGCTGCCCAAACAAGAAAAATAAGCACAAGAACTTGCCTAGATAATTTAGTAACAAAAGTACTAGCTGTGCCCTTGTAGCGTTTCGCTTACACTTTATATTAAAATAATTAATGCTTGCTTATATTTTTGATGTTGGTACTTCGTATTGTTCCATTTATGCAAAACTGGAAAATCTAAAAAAATTAGGTAACACCAATTAAATCAAATGCAGAATATACTTGCCAATGCACATAAACAATGCCACTATTAACACTGGAAATAATACCATTATTTTGTTACTTACCATTGCCATAATATTTACCTATATATGCCATATTACATGATGTTCTGCAAAGAGAAACCTTTGTGTGACTTCAGATAACAAGAGGCAAAGATGCAGTTGGAAGGCTATGCTAATCTTTTTGCTTTCTAGTGGACTGAAAGATTCASAACATAAATTTCAGCAGAATCCACGTGTCTGTGTTTTTCAATGTMTATCATCTCAGTACTCGTGTGACGTTATCAATCCTGCTGTTAGGGGAGCTAAGATACAGCAAGGCTAATGTGATTTACATAAGGATGCTTGAGATATCCTTATGCAGAGAATTTAATCTAGATATTCTGACTTGGATAATTTGGTATGTGGATCACAAAAAAAAAATGGGAGAAGCTTTATATAGTTTTGCCTATTGTGTGTGCACTCCTGTAAATTAAATTCAAGTACTCTTGAAGCTCTTTCAAGGTCTACATGTATTTCAAAAGGGGAATTTCAGAGTAATTCTGTTCTTGAAAAAAATGTGTTYACAAGATAGTTGGGTTTTCTGTCCCTTTGTTTCCTCAACTCCCCTTTTAAGTTCCCTTTTAAAAAGCTGTGTAAATGTTGTTTTTTATCTTGTGTTTTCCAGAGCAGTTTAATTGGGACGATTATCTGAARGAGACTGACTCAGTAGCTGCCCCTCTGCATTGTTTCAGACAGGTATGCTGGATGCTGTTTTGCAGTCTGTGTGTGCATGTGTGCCTGTTCCAAGGTGATCCTAGAGCAACTTTCACATTTAGGCTGCTTGCAGAATTCCCTTTTGCCTTCTTTTGATCTGTAGTTATCAGCAGCTTACAGTTTTGGCAGTTGCTAGCTACGGAAGTTTTTTCATTCTTGGTTTCTGCCTCAAGCCAAATTTTGAGGGTTTCATTAAAATTGTATCTTTGAACTCTGTTTTCTTTCAGAAAAAAAAATAAAGACTAGTTAATGAAAACAGATAGCCTGTCAGAGTTTAAAAATGTTTTGTACTTGTTTCAATGATCTTAGAGGTACCATGGTTTTAGTGAGAATTAAAAATTTGGCTAATTGTTAGAAGAGTCTTTCCTCTACCCCATTTTTGAAAGATTTCTTTCAATTCTGCCTAGCTATAASAAGTGTGTGTAGTAGAGTTTAGTTACTACTTTTTTCCCTGGATCTCTAATATGTTTAATTTTGTCTTTTTCTGAACAGAGTGCTTTCTACTTGGGAGTAACAGATACTAAAATTAAAAAAAAATCAAGGGGACTATATGGGAATAGAAAGGAATTACTGGATTTATAGTGAAGGATGTTTACTGTACAGTTTTATATCTTACACTGTACCCTACAGGTTTGATCCCCCCTGCCTGATGGTTTGGTGTCTGTTTGCAGATGCAGTTTAAATCTGCCATCTCGTGTGAGCAATGATCTCCAGTAATTCTGCCTTCTGCAGACTGAGTCCATCTCTTTAGGTGYCCTTCTTGCTGTAGAGGGAGCCAGGGCTGGTGTTTCCCAAACTGAGATGTATCTTCTGTGCGTAAAGTTAAACTGGATTKGTTTTGGTCTGTGTACCCTCACTGYCTYAGGAAGACAGCTGCTAAGGAATTGGATTGTTCAGGTTCACAGAARTGTAAAAGGTGGGACAAGGAGTACCATGTCCAGTTTAGTGGCTTGGGCACGTTCAGAAATTGTTTTCTAGGGTGTGTTGGGGGTCTGACTGTACTGTCTGACTGTACTGGCCAAAAGTGGGGGCCCAGATAAAAAGCACCATGAATTGAGTCTGAGGAGGAGAGAAACTTGGTGAATCTGAAGCAGAATGGAGAATGGGAGAGAGAAWCACAGGTGGTAATATTTCCTCATGCTAGATTTTGCATCTCAGCCTGCTCTTTGTAGATGAGAATAAAGGGCAAACAGCCCCTTGCATGCTGCTTTCACAAAGAGATGGCTAAAAACAGTGGTGGCCATAGCTCTGGGTGGAGCTTCAGAAATTAATTTCACAAGATTGTGCTTTTCACAGGCAGACACCTTAAACTCAGCTTGGGTAGAGCCAGAGGGTGGTGGCACATCCCTGGTTCAATGTGTGGTTAATGCCAGGCAGTAACAAATCCTTGGATCTTTCTGAAGTGCCATACTCAGAGACCATAAATCACCATGACCAGACTGTGTGCTCCTAAGGAATGTAACTGCTGCAGAAAGCTGCTCAAAAGCCTTTCCATGTGCCTTTTTATCATGTTCCTCTGCATAGTAATGCTCGAGAAGTCTGAACTGAGCAGCCAAATAATGCCTTGAAYAGAGATGCTCGGGTGACATGCATTGACTGAGATAAATCCAAGTGCTTAAGGAGTGATTTGGAAAGAAGAGCTTTCATTTATGTGTGCAGCAGATTTCAAAACAATTTACATGTGCAGACTTTCAGTTTTTCTGAGTCGACCTTGAAGTAGAAAGTGAAATGCAATGGTGATTAGCACAGAGCTGGATCCTCTCACTACATAATGTTTGCAGATTTTGGAACCTGCAGTGCTTGTGCTTTGTGTAGGACTAATTTGACTTTTATTGGGTTACAGATGAATTGTACRTGTCATTATTACTCTGTGTAATGCAAAGAAATACACTGCTGTGGCCAGCCAGAAAATAAAGACCAGAGAGAAACTGAAGATCACAATTATATCCAGAATTTGTGACCTGTGGGAATTTTAAAAGTTTCAATTTTGTCGTAATTAAAAATTACCTGTGGAGCAATAAATTAAAGCTTCTACCATAAATTAAGACACAGCTAATGGAAATWAATGAAAGTATATATCTTAATTTGGAAGGTATTTTATCTGTTGCTTTAAGTTGTTTTTAATTACTATTTGAAATTCCAGTCTACTTCATATTCCTTTTTCTCGGCCTAAAACTTCTTTCCAAGCAGTTGAAATTTTTAAATGTAAAAATGCAGTCCCTCGTGGTTTGAGCAGAAGTTAAAGCAAGGCTGTTACTGAGCGAGTTTTTGTTATTTATTTAAGGACAAACTATCATGGAGAAGTTTTCTTTTTAGTAGAATTGTTGAGTTGTTGGTTTTTAAACAAGCTCACCTTTTCCATGAACAAATAAACAGACTCCCCAGTTTCTCAATTTCTGTTGCTTTTCCTGGCTGTAGAAAAKAACAGCTTGACAAGCAATATCCTGAAATTGAATTGCCCTTTAAATTTAATATGCTCTGCTCCCTTTTCAGGCAGCCTGCTGTCTGAGTGCAGCACTGGCAGATGCTCTCTGAATTTACTCACCTCTTTGCTTTTTGGGCTCAGGCTCCTCCAGGGCTCCTGCTGTTGATCTAGGGTCAGTTGTAAATAGTGCMCCTGCACAATATAGCATTTAAAACTGGTGCAGAATAAATATTGCTAACACTTGTTGCAGTAGTGGATTTCTGCAGTGTTTTCCTGTGTCTCCAGACAGTAAGTTGTGCTTTGTCATGTGCTGTGGGATCTGCACTGGATCTGCTCAGGGGGCACCAGGGGCCATAGGAGTCCTATCAGTGTGAATACCCATGGTTTGGTTTGGGTTTTCTAACCTGCCTCCCACATTAGGAGTCCAATTGTGTTAGTCTGGATGAGGCAGCTGTTGGGTTTAAATATCATGGAGAAGACTCCTTACAGTTCTAGGAGTCTGTATTAAAACCAGSTTTGTACTGAGTACTTTGTGCTTGGTACTGTCATCATCTCCTAACAGAAATTTCTGTGCTTGACTTACTCACATTGTTGAAAGTGTACTGAGAAGGGGTCAGCTTTAGATTTTGGTTTTATTTGCCAAGCTGCAAAAAATTAGATGATACTGTGGGCAAAGAAATGCATTAATAAAACTTAGGCTGGAAATGAGGAGGCAACTAAAAAGAATAGTGAGAAGCATTCCATCCCAGTTAGTGTTAATGAAGTTTTGAACATCATTAGGTGAAGTCTGCAGTACCACAGAAAGCAAGACTGCAGTCCAGTCAATCTCTGCCAGTAGTGTGTTGATACATGAGTAAAAAATACTCTCATGTGTAAAAAATAGCATCTTTAGCATGTGACAAAGAGTTCTCCACAAAGACCAAATTGCATTTGTCACATTTCTTTTCCCTGTGCTAATTAAATTGACATTTCATTGTATGTTTGTGAACATATTCAGTTCTCTATGAATTAGCACAAGCTACAGTGTTTGTCTTAGTGCAGAAGTTTTATATTACTTTAGGACTGTTTTCTTKCTGTAAAATGTTAAAACTAATTCATTTTTCTGTCTTCTTTCTATGTCATGTTTTGGGTTTTTTGATGCAGAAACTCTTGCTTTGGGCTTTTGTAAGATCTAGGGTGGTAGGGTCCAAATTTTGTTTAGATTCCCAAAATATTATTACAATGAGGGTAACTATTTCTTTTGAATTGAACGCTAATAAACCTTGTGGTCAGGATGTTTTTTTTCTGAATGTGTGTGTTGGTTTGTGTTTTGGTTTTTGGGTTTTGTTTCCCAATGTCCTTGTATTCCATTCACTTCACTGCTCCCCATCTTTACATTGATATTTTGGTAGGAATTCCCTTGTTACCCTTCTGAGCATCCTTATCCCTTTAGAAATGAATCATTCTGATGTAGTTGTGGTGGATTATCCTTTTCTGACTTACTGCCAGACACTCAAAGCTCAAAAGCTTCTTCTTATTTATCACTTACATGATATGTTTGGATGGTATATTGAACTGGCTGGAACATTTAGCAATATTAACAATAAGCAAAAGTCTTTTACCTTTTATTGCAGTCCAGAATTCCCCCAGTGAACGATTTCAAGGTTGGGATGAAGCTGGAAGCCCGCGATCCTCGCAACGTCACCTCGGTTTGCATCGCCACGGTGATCGGGATCACGGGGGCCAGGCTCCGGCTGCGGCTCGATGGCAGTGACAACAAGAATGATTTCTGGAGGCTCGTGGATTCCTCTGACATCCAGCCCATTGGAACCTGTGAGAAGAAAGGGGGCATGCTCCAACCTCCCCTGGGTAAGTAGCAAAGCATTCCCTTGTTTGGAAGTCTGTGGAGTATTTCTTTCAGGAAGTCAAATAGACCTTTTTGTCTTGGCAAATTTAATGGTATTGAACATTTCACCAAACAATTAWTTAATTGGAAAAGAGGTTAGTAAACTAATTTTGCCTAAGTGAATTGTGGCTTTTTCTTAAATTTTCATTTTTCTGACATAAGAAATGACATAATGAGCAGTTTTGTTTGTTGGTGTTTTTTTTTTTTAATAGGTCCTTAATATTAATACAGATTTTTGTGCTGCTGTGCTCCTTCAGAAACACAAGAAAAGCAATACAACCAAGGTGCCGGTCTAGAAAAATACTGCTTTGGATAGATACTGTTTGAGCCTAGAAGGGCTTTTTTTCCTTCTTTTCCTTTGCATATGTAGAGGTTTTGAATGAAAACACTTTAAATTCTTGACATGGGGGAAAAAAATTATTTATATTTTCATTTTTTACCAAGAAGTTTTTCAGTTTGACCTCTCTGAAGTTCTTGATACGACCTTGTAGAATGAATGAAGTGATACTGATATAAAAACTGGAAGAGTACACCAGTTCCTTCAGCTGCACACTTGGACTGTGTTAACAATATGGCTTCAGGGGCACAGCAGTTTCTAAAATGTGTTTCTGAACCAGAGTGGTGAATAAAACAACTCTAGTTCTATGTGGTGGAGTTAGTTGATATTTAAGAGRAGAAAGTTCAGTAGAAAGGTTGATGCCTTCTGCTCAGGTGCTGTTTCTCACTGTTSCTTGGTCAGGCTGTTTGCAGTGCAGCACCCAACAAGAAACTTTCCCTGCTGACATGGGAGTTTGCTGCCCTTTCAACAATTGCTGGGTATTCAGAAAAGAATATGAGTGCCACTGTTGTGGCCCTCCTGCCCTAGATTTTTCTAGAGATAGGCTAAATTCCAGCAATCACATATTGTGGCATACCTAGATCAATTTTTGAAAAAGCGTTTTTGGCAGTTTTACAGCATCCTGTTCCTGGGCAAAGCTGGGAGTTAATTGGGTGTATAATTACCTCCTGTTAGACATTCAACCAACTGATTTTTTTTTTCCTTAGTAGTAGGGAACCTTCTGGATACTAATGTTCCACTTGTATCATAATAACTAGCTAAAATAGTCCCTCCTACCTGATTTTAACATGGGTGTAATTATGCATGTTACATAAGGGTTTTCAATAGCTGATTATTGCAGCAAAGTGTTCGTGTTCCCACTTCTGTTTTCCATAGGTGAGCTTTTTGTTGTTCAGAGCTTAGTGTTCTTAGCAAATTGTGTTACAGATTGCATTTTCTCTGGTTTTACCAGAACAACTTAAAGGCCAAATGAAGTTAATTGACACTGTTGTTCAGTTGTCATTCCTCAGTCTTGCTTGTATAAATCTTTCCTGGGCTACCTAGTTGGGAATATTGTGTTTCAGTGACCACACATGTTCAAGTTTCATAAAGACTCCAGCATGAAACCAGGCCTGACCATCAGCTCAGTGGTCCCCTCATTAAGACACTGTTTATCAAATAGGAGCTTTGAATTCATTTAGGTATTGCATAGGTAGTTCTAACTTGAAAACTGTTTATTCAACTGAATAKAGCTTAAAGCTATGAGCTAAAGAACCATTACAGCATCCAATCAAATTTTAATGAGTAAATTATTTAACTGATGAAGAATTGCTGATATGTTCCACCTTTTTAGTTACAGATTTTTAAGAGAATTGTTAAAGGTCATTTATGAGGGAACTCAGGAGCTCTTGGCAGCTTATGGTACTATTTGCTTTGTGGAAAAAATTCCGATTTGCTGTATTATGTCTGTTTTTCTGCAGAACTGTTCCAGACATCTTAACTGCTAAAAAAGCAGAAAAAAATGTCCACGATGTCTGTTATCTTACTCATYACTTTAAAACATTCATTTGGAAAGCAAAGAAAGCAAAAGGATTTTTTGTTTGTCTTGTTTTATCTTTTAACTGGAAAGTGGTTGATTATGAAGGAAGATTATCTGGTATAAGAAGGTTTTCAGCCAAACCTTTGTTCTGTTTGAATAAGGTGGTTCATTAAACAAATYTGATTGTTGTTTATGATTTTTATTCACTTGTGAATGAGGAATAATTAAATAGAAAGACCTTCTGATTGATGTTTTCCAATATGATACAAGATTTATTAGATTTTTTTTTTCACTCTTAGGTATTCTTTATTTTTATGGCTATTTATGTATTTATTTTAATGAGGGAAGGGAAAAAACAATTGCTCTGTTTTTTGTCTGTGGTTTGGTGAAAGAATAACAAGATTCTCAAAAGTAAAAAAAGTATTTTGTCAATAAATGAGGTAGAACCTGAAAAGAAAGCTAGGTGCTTGTGCTGGGAGAAGTTCAGTTGGACCAGGGACTGTGTGGGGCAACCTCATGGTGTCCAGAATAGAACTTGCATGTCATGAAATCCTGCAGATTTATCTGTAGTGTCTGACATGATGATTTTGCAGGCAAGTCACTCAGATTGAAATGAACTGCACAGCTTTCTGCACCTACAGGAACCACATTTCTTCTTAGTTACTTCTATTTGGGCCAAGTCTGAAATAGAGAAAATGAGGCATTAGTGAAACAGGCTTTATATCCTTTTCCTCCTGATATAATTTACAAACTGAAAGTGGAGCTGTTTGTTTGGTTTTTGTTTGTTTGTCCTCAGGGTTCCAGATGAATGCATCCTCTTGGCCAATGTTTCTCTTGAGAACTCTCAATGGAGCTGAAATGGCACCTGCAGCATTCTTTAAGAAGGTAAGAAGAGAGGATTTTAGTGAACAATTCCTCTCAATTGGTCCATGGGTACATTTTAATGAGGATACCAAGACATTACCCTGTTTTCTGCAGCAGAGACTGGAAGGCAGGACTTTTATTCCAAGTGTCTTTGAACTGGATTGACCAGCAGTGGAACTAGACAGGAGGCAATCTGCTTTTAGTCTATGGAGATGGCCATTTCTTCTCCTAAACTGACACTTCAGAGTATGTGTGTCATTTAGAAAAATTGTGTTTGCTCATTTTTTGTCTCATGCATTTTATATAAAATGCATGTCACATTTCTTAACAGCATTGTACTCGTGTGATTGTTTACAGGAATAGAAAAATATTTTGGGGGAGTGAGAACCATTGGAATACAGTAGGGCTTGGAAAGGTTTTGTTAAACATTTTCATTGGACATGCACTCATCATTTAAAATATAGTAAGAAAGTAAAGGAAAATAGCAGAAAAAGCCATTCAATTTTTTAAGCATTACTCTTCAGTAAGTTACTGTGAAACATGGAAAATGGTATAAAAATAGCAGTCATATTAAAAGGACTTGTTGGTTCAGTTTTTTGTTGAGGTGATGAAACCCTGCTGTCATATTGAGTGTCTTCTTTTTGGATAGTGAGAGTGACACTGATAAGTGTGCCAGCAAATCACAGTTGGATCAGGCCTGCAGTCATAGCACTTGGTTGAACTTCACATAATTACCATTTTTTTTAGATAAGTTGATGTGAATTTTCTCTGGTGTGATGTGCCACACCTCTCTGTGCTAGCTGTAGCACATCTGAGATGGGCTTGGATAATAAAGTTCTTGAGGCTGAGGTGGTGATTTGTGTTCTGCAGGTTCCCAATTCCTGCTCTGCAGGTTTACTTAGTCCAGTCACATTGGCTTGGTTTTGTTTTCTTTTGTCCACTTGGAATTGGTCTGTGGCCAACTGAGTTAATAGAGGCCTATAAATAATGTCCAGTGCTAATGAATTTTTCATGGATTAATGGAGAGGTAAAGCTTTTACCAGACAGTTATCAGTCCCCAGAAATATCCGTGCTCTGCAAACCTCTTCTTTATTAGCATGTAATAATTTCATTTTAGTGTTTTGACTGTCTTGCTGCCCAGATGTAATGTATTGGTTGCAAGCTATTGATTATGTAAATACTTTTATCAGGGTCTGTCATGGAAAATTTTGTTAATTATCCCAGCTGTGTTTGGGGGAATAGAATGTAGATTTTTGTAGTGCAGAGGAGCAAAGACAAATTTGAAATAYGAATAGATTTCCTTGAATGTGTTCTATAACTTTTTGGGAGTAATGACTGTAAGTAGTAAGAATGTTGAAGAAGAATAAAGGGCTGTTATTTGTTTTTTATTATTTTCTTTTTTCTTTTTATTTTTTGAGAGGTTATAGAAATACACATATTCTACCATGCTTATTTTYGTAGGAACCACCAAAACCTGTGCCCAACTGCTTTAAAGTTGGAATGAAACTTGAAGCTATAGATAGAAAGAACCCGTACTTGATTTGCCCAGCAACCATTGGAGATGTTAAAGGAGATGAAGTTTTTGTTACGTTTGATGGCTGGAGAGGAGCGTTTGACTATTGGTGCAGGTGTGATTCTCGAGATATTTTCCCAGTCGGGTGGTGTAGCTTGACAGGAGATGCATTACAGCCACCAGGGAACAATGGTAAGATGACTAATAATATTGCTTAATTATTTTTATCCTCMATTACAGCAGAATTTTAAAAACCAGCTGGCTGTATGCTGATAAGACTGAAGATTTGATTTGTGAGTAGCTGACGAGGATGAAATGTTGTTGTATTTTCTTTATGTAGCTTAAAGCTAATAGAAATTGCTGGGAAACAATTTTTTGCCTGTTCATAGTATCTCTGAGCACATGTTTTATTTAATACTGTTAGGAGGACTTTTGATGATGTCTAGTTTTTGTAGTCTTGTAAAGAATCTTGAACTGGATTTGCTGTTTGTATTATTGATAGAAACATGCTCCTGTTTTATTRTAGTGATATATTGGCTGCTGCAGCACTTTATGTTATTGTAACTGCTAAGCAAAGTAAAGTAGTCTTTGCTTCTTTGATGATTGCAGGTCTAAATATGTATCCAGTGTTTTTTCTTCTTTCATACTCACAAAATTGTGTTGTGCAGCTGCCTATTCTGAATGCTTTGTCATCCTCTTGCCTTTCAGGTTGTTTGTTGATCAGGTGATGGTGTCTGTTTAACTAATGGCACTGTGCTTTATAATGAACAACTGTCTGTTAGAAAGAAGGGAAGTGGCATGGAGAGTGCACCCCTTGGCTACTTTGGGCACTGCTCCCCAGGTTTCTGTAGTAGAAGGCTTTTCTGTCAAATTGTTTTTGAGCTTTTCCATCCTCATCCCATAAGAATTTGTCAGGAAGTGAGATTTTGAAGGAGAGGAGTCATATTTTAATTAATTTCTCCGTTAATTAGAATAATTCTTTCTCAGTGAGGATTTTCACAGCTGGTGTTAGGTGAGTAAAGGAGCAAGTAACTGGTGTAACAGAACTCTCACTGGAAGCAGGAAAGGAACAGAAGCAGGAAGGCAGGAAATCTTTAATGTTTCCTGCCCTTTCCATCCCCATTGTTTCACTGTCTTTTGCCAGCAGATCAAGAACTGGATGGAAAATGTAACTGGAATGAATTCAGGGTACCAAGTGGAATGAATTCAGGGTACCTCTGCATCCTTGCTCTCGCCTGTTTGTGGTTACTGCCCGGGGTCATAGTACCCAGAACTGAGTTTAGTTCATTCCAGCAGATTTCAGCAAGGGAGTAACTACGTGTGGAGCTGTCCAGAATGGTCTGCTGGTGCAAACTGTGAGTGAGAGGGCAGGGAGAGTCCCTGAGGATGATGTACATTTGATCAGAACTCATCCAATAGGTACCACACTGACCTTAGGCTAAATGTTTCTGTGCTCCCAATCTCTAAAGTGTCTCTCTCAGTTCTTCAGAAGGTTGGCCTTGTCTTGAGAGATCATGAATGAGCTGTGTTGTTATGGTGAATTCTGTGCTGTGAGGGTGATGTGCACTGGAACAGATGGCACAGAGAATGGAGTCTCCCTGACTGGAGCTATTCCAGATATTCTGGAGCTATTCCAGAATTGTCTGATCACAATCCTGTGCCGTGTGCTTGAGCAGGGATGTTGGAGCAGATGACCCACTGTGGTCTCTCCAATCTGATACACAACAGGGGCTGTGTAAATAAGTGGCTTAGAATTCTTCTAAGATATTTTTGTGACAGTTTAATCTTCTAGAAAGAGTATTATTAAATTGTTTAGTCTGCTGCAATTTCCCTGCTGGAAAGCCAGYGATTTTTTGCAGTAATACATCCAGAACTTTCCTTGCCTGATTGGTGCTTGCTAGAGCTCAARGTTGTTTGACAATAAGTAAAGCTGGTTATGTCATCCAGTTCTTTAGGTAATAAACCAAATAAAATTCAGACTCGAAATACCTGTCCAGGTAGGATACTGTGGCTTTGTTATGAGAAACAAAAACACTTTAGGCATTAATAAAATCTGAAGCAAGGTTCTAACAGACTTATAGTCAAAACTGGTAATTTTGGACATGGAGTAGAAACTGAGTGTGAAGAAGTGCAGGCTGGAATGGGCTTATTTTTGTTCTAAAAGTGATCCCAAAGTTAACTGCAGTTTTATTGAAAATGTGTAATCCTTTTTTCACCATTCTGAGCATAAATAATTTGTTATTTCTATTTTGTTTTGTCCTATTGAGCCATTGAAGAACTGCAATGACAGTATTAGGATTTAAGTAACAGCTTCAAAAGATTGTATTTAGATAGATTAAATTCAGAATATGATAATATTGTAAGGATTATTCATACCTCACACTAACATTGACTACTCCTKTTAAGGGAGAAAATATGAGAGCTACTACATCACAGGGATTTGCTTGTAGTATTAATGTTATTCTGGTCTGGACCTTTTTCCTGCTGTTACTTCAGTATTTCTGCCTTGAATTTCTGCAATAGAAAGTGAAAGTAATTGACTGAGAGGGGCTTGAATTCCAGAGYGAATATGAAAAGTGTTCTCGATTTTTGTAACTGCCTTTCCTGAAAGCATTTAAATGTGTTAARTCACTGCTTAGAAGGATGAAAAGTTTCAGATTTTAATGGACATGCAAAGCTTATATCCTACAATCTGAAGCATGACCACGATAAATGATGCTTTAAATTTCATTCCTACCTAGGACAATGATTTSCTACCATGAGATGTGTTTTGGTGTCTATTTTAGCCTTTTGAAAGAGAGCTGAAATGCARTAAGGGAGACAGTATGAAAATTAGGGAAGATTGCATTTCAACTGTTGGCTGTCTTAGCCTTCTAGGATGCCCAGAGGGAATGTAGGACCTCTGCCATGGGAGGTGTTTAAGAACAGGTTTCCAGGATGTGGGTGAGTTTATCTAGATCAGATTATATGTTTATTTACTCTTTATAACTGTATCTTCTGTAACTCTCCTTAGTTCACGAGCTGTCTAATACCAATAAGACAATACAGAGAGTTTAGGTGAAAGTAGTTTTGACTAACTGTCAATAGCCTTCAGGCCCTAATCTTTGTGTTTATGTTTTGTCTTTGGTCCTCATTAGCAGCTGTGGCTTCAGTGGACCTGGCTGGATGTCAGGATATGTGCACAGTGGTTTGAGATGCACCATTCAGTATTTCTACTCCTAGAAGCTGTGCATAGCTAATAMATACTGTAGTTTGTGTCATTAGAAATGTCTCTGATAGCAGTAATTGGTTATGTATGGTTTGACCTCAGTGTTTGATGTTGGCCTGGCCTGCTGCCTCAAGGTTACAATTTTAAGGATGCAATAGATAGTTTACTGTGTCTGTTGGTCATTTAAATACTTTTAGAGATGCCTTATCCATGAACAGTGTTGTGCAAGTTCCTAATGGAAGAGTTGACACAGTCATGTCTGTSCTGGGCTGGTTTGAAGGACCAGCAGCTCTTCAAGGCTCTCTGCAGCACTCGCTGAAAGCAGAGTCTGAACAAGAGCATAAGCACATAGGAGAAAGGTTTGCAGAAGTATTCTGAGTATCTGTGCATCTACARCCCAGCCCCTTCCAAACCCAGAACAATGCTTTCATGCTGAGTGCCTTTTCAAGCACTTGGGAGGAACTTGATCTAACCTGTTCTTTTGTATATTGGAGCCATGTAAACTTCTACAACCTACAACATCCTGTAGTAAGGGTTTCTGTCCTTGAGTGTATTTTTTGTGGAAACAGGGATATTCCTTTTCCTTGTTGGTAGTTTCATTTGTTGTCCTTGGTTTCTTGTRCTGAAACAGCTTCTTGTACTTCCAGTACCTGTACAGGAAGATTTTGGTTTTGTTGTTCAGGGCTCAGTTTTATTCCTCTGCTCACCCTTGTACTTGTGTATTGTTTYMCTTAAGGCATTTTTGAGCCAYTGGATCCAGAAATGCATGATGTATYGAAACTTAGTGACATTGTGGTGTCTCGTGTTGTGTTTTCTGTTCCCTCTATAATTACTCATTGTTATTTGGGATTTTTGGAYTATTACTGATGTGATGTGCTTCCTTGGAGTGAGTATAAATGCCAAAAAACATTCAGTCTTGTTGCTTTAGTGTTACTCTCTGCATTTGCTCATTCCAAAATTTGGTCATCTCTTGGATCCATGTAACTTCTGCTTTTGATATACTTTAAGAAGGTTTTTAAAGTTTTATGCATTTTGCATGGTTTTTTTATTCGCTCTCTTTCTAGGCCAAATGTATTGTGCTTTTCTACTTAACTACAATAGATTGTAATTTTTACTTTACTCAGCTGAACTGAGAAAGCTAGAAAGCTTTTACTAGGCTAGAAAGCTGTTACTATGCCCAAGAATATTCTTGTTATTCTTGTATTGCTCTGCAGCTCATTGTTTCTGAGGCTTRTGATTAAAGTAGGCAGCAGGTGACTGGAGATTGTCAGAACAATTTCTATTTGCTGTTTCTGTATAAATTCATTTTACTGTTTAGTTACTACATGTAAATGGCAGTTTCTTAGGCAACCCACCTTTTTATTGATAATAGAAGTAAAACCTTTTCCATCAAAGAGAGAAAACAAAAGAACAGGGGACAGGCCATGTGGGAAATGAGAAGTAGTTTCACCTGCAAAGATTGATTTCAGTATTAAGTAGTATCTGTCATTTAGATGTGAACATACATCTGGAGAGGGAGGGATTGGTTTCTGTATATCCACAATCCCCATAGCTTTATGAAGCTGCATCTTTGAASGATAAGAAGGGGGAACTGCTCTCTGCACTCTAAAAATTTGGGAGGCCAAAGGAAGATGATAAAATAATTAAAAAAAAACTAAACAAACCAAACTAAAAAATGTGATATGCTGTAAATTTTATCCTTAGTCATGTTCCTTCTTTACCCCTCTTCCACACCCTCTGTCCCCTCATTGCTCTTCTCTAATTTAGTGCATTTATTGTYAGTGAGAGCAATCTTCTTTCATTCCATTAATCAGCCTGTTGATGTGGAGGTCTCATTCTAAAGGTGTCTGCAGAAATAAGAGTACTACAGACTCAAGCAGAGATTTAAAAGTATCTTATGTATCTATTTAATTATTTTTAGTTTAGTTTTATTTAATTTTCAGTCATGTTCTCAATATTTACTTTGTGCAGGTTTTACCAGCTA